GACACAAGAAATGCTCCCCAGGGAGGAGCTGAGGGATATCTGTCCAAGTGCTAAGGACACCCTACCACCTGTTCACTCACAGGCTGGAAGCTTCTCCAGGGCAGGATGTGGCCTTGCTCTAGTCTCTTCCATGGCCAGCACAGTGGCTGTGTCTCCTCCACCACACTGGAGGCTCACCTTTCTCTCTCCTTATCCCACCTAGTCCACCTAGTCCAGCTTGTCGAGGGGGACATGGAGTAGGGGGAGTGACTCTGACCTGTCACCCCACTCCAGAATGGACATATTCTGAGGTCAGCCTGTGGTCCTCTTTCTTAGGCACAGCCTGGTCTCCAGAGGGAGCACCTGGCACCCCAACCCTCCAGGTGGAGCAGGGAGTTCCACTGGCTGTGGGGTTCAGTCCCGGCTCTGCTCCTAACTAGCCTGGGTTCTTTCCCTGGGTCTCAGTTGCCACACCTGCATGGTGGGAGCTAGGACCAGGTGATGTCTGGGCTCCGGAGTGTCACTAGCCTATCCGGAGACTTTGTGCCCATCCGGGTGGATACAGCTCTGAGGCGCACAGCTTGGCACTTTGTGTTAAGACAAAGGCACCCTCCGTGGGGGTAGACACAGCCCATGCCGGAGCTCAGGGCTTGCTGACCAGAGCATGGGCAGGATTTCAGTGCCCTCCACCCTCAGCTGGGCACCTTCGTCCAGGTCGCGCCATGCACAACCTTCCACATTGTCTGGGTCTGAGTTGCCAGCGTGGTACTTTCTGGGTCACTCGGCCAAGGGAGGGAGCAAAGAATGAAAGTAGTCAAGAATGATGCTGTCTCGGGCCGCCCCCTGGTGGCCATCTCCCACGACACACAGGGCTCCGGAAAGGCATCTTCCGAGTCTGGGTCTTAACGAGGGGAGCCTCCTACCTGCCTGCAGAGATCCAGCACCAGGGACTCAGAGGACCAACCTCCCAACCCTGAGAAAGGGATCCGGCCTTGAGGCAGCCACTGTGGACCAGGCCCTCGAGAGGCACTTTTGAGTTGAATTTAGTGGAACTGTTGACTCACCAGGCTGGAAGCTTCTCCAGGGTAAGGGCTGGTCTCTTCCCAGTGTCCCCAGCGTCTGGCCCAGGGGCTTTCTCCTCTGTCAGACATAGAACTTTGCCTCCCCTATCAGACAGGGGGCCCACCCTTCTTTCTCTCTCTCCCCCTATCCTACCTCGTCCGGCATGTGGGCCTGTCACCCCACTCCAGCTAGCAGCCCTCAGGTGGGAGCCTGGCGCTGAGAGTGGGCTCATTCTGAGGTCAGCCTGGGGCCTTCTTTCTCAGGCTTCCTGGGAAGGCCCCAAGCCTGGGTCATTACTGGATCCATACCCTACCTCCCCCCAGCTCTTCTCTCTCCCTCAGTGAACGGGAACCTCGGCTGTCTCATTTATGCTTAAGCAGTGCCATGCAGTGCCGGGCACACGGCAGGTGCTCAATGAACGTTTGCTGGATGAAGGAAGAGTTGCATCCAGTCAGTCCTGGCCATGATCGGTTTCTAGATATGTGACCTTGAACAGGTCTCATTTTCTGTCATTCAGTCAACAAATACCTACTGAGCATCTACCATGTACTACTGTTCTAGACACAGGAGTCCAACCCAGATCTGCTGGGCTTCCTTCCAATACTGTTCTTTCTGCTTATCAGCTCTGGTTCCTCTTTCCTGAGAAACCAATACTGAGATGGTTGAGACCTGGAGATGGGCAACCCCAGCCAGAAGTCCTGTCGTCTCCCACTGGCCCCCCAGACATCAGATCCTCCAGTCCCCGGGACACCCCCCAGCCTCCCCTTCTCCGTACCTTTGTCACACAGAGCGCCCCTCCCTGTCTGCCTGCCCGTGTCCTGCTCAACCTTCAAATTCCCATTGCAGGGTCATGAACGCCTTGAAGCCAACCCCACCCTTCTGCTTTGGCAGAAGCAACTCAGCTGATGTGAGGATGCACCAGTGTCTACACTGACCCAAGCTATTTATGCACCTGGCTCCCCCCAAGCCACGCCTTCCCCCCTCCCCTGGGGAGTGCCTGGGCCTAGACTGAGTCGGTTGATTGATTTCTCCCTGTCAGGCCCTGAAGCATCTGCTTGCCATGCTCCAGCGCCCAGCGCAGGGCCAGGCACTCAGGGCAGGCCACAGGATCCCCAAAGTCATGATGGGAGAATTGGATTCAGGGCACCACCTGGGCACTCCCTCCTCTGGTCCCCTCCCCCACGGGAGGCTCCTATCTCTCCCCCCCCCATAGATGCGTGGAGCAAGGAGGGCACTGGGGGAGGGTAATAGAAGGTCACAGGGCAGATGGACTGTGGGCCCATCTGGGAAAGGACAGCTTGCCCCTGGGGAAGGGCAACCACACATCTTAGAGCTGTCCGGGAATCTGGGAATCATCCGCTTCAGCAGAATTCCAAGGGCTGGGAAGGTGAATGTGGGCGTGCAAGGGGGAGCTGCCCACCCTTGCAAGGCCCGGTCTTTAGTTAGTGCCACGTTGGGCTGACAGGCAGGACACCTGGGCTTCAATCCGTATCCCTTTGCTGTGTGACCTTGGGCAAGCCCTTGACCCTCTCTGAGCGCCGGGTCTGTACAATGAGAAGATTGCTGCCCAGCATGAATGCCAGAGGCGGGAGAGCCAGAGCCACCTCACCCCGCCCTGGCCCCTTTTCCGGGACTGTGAGCAGGGGACCGTGGGTGGGGCCACTGCCCAGCCTCATCCACCTATCCCTGTCTTGGGCTGAAAGGGGCACAGTGGGCATCCTCTACCCTGTGAACTGCCCTGTTCTCTGCTGGGGTCCCCCTCCTGGTCCCCCCCCCCCAGAGCTGCTAGGCTGCCAGCTGGGAACATCATCAGCTGTGACCAGCGTCCTGCGTCATGGTGAGTCAGAGCCATCCTTCCAAGCCAAGTCCAGTCACCCCACCACAAGAAGAAGAGAAAGGACACCTTGCCCCCCGCAACCCTGGGCCACACAGGAAGGACCCCTTTTGTTCTTTCCTGTTCCACACAAGGACAGGCACACACCTGGCACTGTGCAAGGCACCTGGGCATCCGGGGGGATCTGGACATACTGTCCCTTCAGAGCTCTCCTCCCCTATGCCAGACTTGGGGTGGGGCTGCTCTGAGCGGGGGAGAGCATGGGGGTCTCTGAGCATATGTGGCTGAACACGGCACGGACTCTAGGGCTGGCACATCTCTCTTCTTCACACCCGCACATAGTAGGTGCTTCACACATATTCATGGAATGGAGGCTCTTTAGGCTTCCAGTAGGTGTAGCGGAGCTTGGTGATGTAATAATACATCCTATCCGTGTCCACCGTCGCTGTTATTTATTTTCAGCCCTAAGGACCTGCTATGTCTCATTTTGCATATATTTCTCATTAATCCTTACAGCAATACTGTGAGGTGAGATTATCCCCCCGCCCCCACGGTTAACGGATGAAAAACAGGCTCAGGGAGGTGAGGCAATTTGCCCAAGGTCACACAGCTATATGTGAGCTGAGCCAGCTGTCACACCAGGTCTGCTGGCAGCAGTGGCTAGAGCCACTCCCCGCCTGAACCCTACCTCAGAGAGGGGAAGAGACCTGGGTCAGTGCCCGCCCCCACCCCCTGGCTGTCCACCAGCCCCTCAGATGCTGCCCTGCTGGGGGCCTCCTACTCCTGCCTCAAACCTTATTCATCCCTCAAAATCCTGCCCAGGGCCATCACCAGGTTTTTTAAAATTTTTTTTTATTTTTATTTTTTTCATCACCAGATTTTTGGGGGGATCCAAGAAACCTGGCTTCCTCAGCTGTAGAAGGTGCACAGGCAGGTGCAGGTGTAAAGATGGAGGGAGATGATGTGCAAGTGAGTGGCTCAGACGCGCCGCGCTTGTGCACGGGAAGGTCTGCTCAGGAGCTGAGTGTGCGCGCACGGGAGTGACCATGTGTACAGGTGAATGCGCATGGCTGTGTGTGTGCGCACGAGTGAGAGTGTGCTTACAGGTGTGTGCGGGAGTGATAGAGTGAGCCCCTGTTGCCCCACGAGACAGGGGACCCAGGGCCCTGGTTGCTATTTATTCCTTAAAGATTTTATTTATTTATTCATGAGAGACACAGAGAGAGAGAGAGAGAGAGAGAGAGAGAGAGGCAGAGACACGGGCAGAGGGGAAGCAGGCTCCGTGCAGGGAGCCCGGTGCGGGACTCGATCCCGTGTCCTAGGGTCACGCCCTGACCCGAAGGGCAGACGCTCAACCGCTGAGCCACCAGGTGTCCCTGGGTCCTGGTTGTTAAACTAAGGTTGTGTACGTGGGGCCGCAAGTGCTGGAATCTCCGCGCACCCCTCTCGGTCCCCTTCCCGACCTCCAACCCCGTCACCAGGTGGCGAGGAGAGAGGGTCAGGGGGTCCCTCCCCTCTCTCCCAGCCGTAGCTCCCTTCCCCTAGCGGTCCTCACTCTGTGCCGCTCCCCGCACCGCCCCAAGTCCCGCCCCCGCCCCCGCCCCGCGGACCCCGCCCCTCCCCCTCCCGGTCCCCCCAGCCCCGCGGACCCCGCCCCTCCCCTCCTACCCGCCCCCCGAGCTGGGCTGACCCCACCCCCTCCCTGGTTTCCCCCCCCGCTGACCCCGCCCCTCCCCCTCCCGGTCCCCCCAGCCCCGCTGACCCCGCCCCTCCCCTCCTGCCCCCCCCCGAGCTGGGCTGACCCCACCCCCTCCCTGGTTCCCCCCCCCGCTGACCCCGCCCCCGAGCCCGGGCTGCGGCCACAGGTGCGCGCGGCGGGCGGCGCCGGGGGCCGGGGAAGGGGCGGGGCGGCTGCGCGCGGCTCGTGCTCCGGGGCTCGGGGCGAGCGCTCCCCCGGGCCCCCCCCGCCCTCCGTGCTGCCCGCGGCTGGCAGGAGCGGGCGCAGCGCGGGAGGCGGCGGCGGCAGGGACGACGAGCGGAGCCCCAGCCCCGGCCCCGGCCCCGGCCCCGGCCCCTGCCCCGGCCCCGGCCCCTGCCCCTGCCCCTGCCCGCCCGCCGCGCCGGCGCCGCGCGTGAGCCCCGGCCCCGCGGAGACATGAGCGCCCCGCGGCCCGACGCACCCGAGGCGCAGCGGCCCGGCCCCGCGGCCCCGTGATGGGCTCCTGCGTGTCGCGAGGTGAGGGGGCCGCCGGCCGGCGGGGGGCGGGGGGCGGGGGGGCGACCCGGCCTGCCCCGCCCGCACCCCCCCACCGAGCCCCAGGGGACACGGTGCCCCCGGGAGGACGGGGGGGGCAGCGCAGAGGGAGGGCGTGGGGGAGGTGGGGGCGGTCGCCGCGTCTCCAGGCCTGCTTGGAGCCACACCCAGGCAGGTGGCACAGAGCGGGGTCGCTTCCGACCGCCCGAGCGGCCCCACGCCCCCTGCCGCGTGCTCGGGAGAGGAGGGGGGAGGGGGAGGGAGGCTCCCGGTTGCTCCGCGCCTCGGCTCCTCGGGGGGCCGGTTGGCAGCACCGGGAGAGCCAGCCGACTGCCCTTCGCACTCCCCCCAGACCCAGGCCCCACCAGCTCAGCGCCCCCACTTCTGTCCCCCTTACCCCATGCCCTGTCTGCAGAGCCCCTGAACCTCATCGACAGGAGGGGGTTAAAGGAGATGAACAGGTTATAAAAAAGGTGTCCCTTCCCCCACCCTCATCCCTAACTCCTCACCCCACCCCCCCATCCTTGGTCAGGGGACAGGAAGGGATGGAGAAAGCTAAAATCTAGGCAACCCCTGGGCCTTTCTTTCTTTCTGCTTCTGAGCTTTAAAAGCTGCCTTGCCCTGGCACCTCTGCTCTCTTTCTGCCCTTCCCAAGGTGGTACCCCAGGAGTTGGAGTGAGACGCCCTGGGGGACTGGCTCCTACTCAGAGCAGGAGGTGGTGCAGGTGACTGAGGCTTTGGCTCCAGCTCTGCAATCCGACCCACCCCATCCACAGGGCCTGGGGGCTGTCATCCCACCTGACACGCCCCAAAACTTAGTTGTAGAGGAATGAATAGACCTTGGGGAAGGGCTGCACAGGCCCTGGGGTGGAGGTGGGGGCTTGTGCTGGGGGATGCTGGGGAAGGAGCATAGCACCCTTCTCTCCATCCTCTGCCCTCTAAGGGGGCACATCAGTCCATGTGGGACATTCAGGTAAGCAGCTTGAGAGGTCTCAGGAGGGTGTCAGGGCTGGAATTGTGGGTGGGAGTTAGTTCCTGGGAGGTTCATTCACTTATTCATTCATTCAGCTGATGTTAACGCCTCACCTACTGTGTGCATGCTGGGCATCTAGTATCTAGTGAGGACAAGTCCAGCATAGCGTGTGCCCTTGTGAGGCCGACAGCTTGCCAAAGGGGAAAGGAGTTTTAAGAAGGAAGAGTATTTAGGGTTCTTCAGGACTGACAGGCTCTCAATGTGTCTGCAGAAACCCAAAGGCTAAAAAAAAAAAAAAAAAGAAACCCAAAGGCTTTGGGCAGGCTCTGGGTGTCAGGAATCTGGGATGGGGTGTTTCCTTGGTGACTGTGTCCCTTCCCTGTCACTTGGCCATCTAGCACAGGGGCCCCAGCCCTGTGAGCCGCAGACCCACTGAACAACAGTACAGGGGCCAGAGAAGAAGAGGGGCCTGCCAAGGTCAGGCTGGTCCTCGGGTCCTTAGACACCCCCCTCCACGGGGCTGGCACCCTCCGCTGTGCCTGGTTGAGGTCATGCAGACTAAAGATGGACTTTCTTTGCCCGTCCTTCTGTGACTAGGCTGCCCGAGTGCCACCTCCAGATCTAGTTGTGTATTCTAACCTTGTCCCCCTCCTGAGGGGGTGGCACTTACAGTCTCAACATGCAGCAGGCAAGTTAGGTAATGGTAAAGAAGGGACGAGAGCATAGAGCAGAGGACAACCATGGTCTCAGGGACTGAGCCACTAAGTGGAGGTCACACCCCCCCTCTAATGGTCACTAATACTCCCAGAGCGCTTACCAGGTGCTGGTTGGAACATTTTAGGTACAACTAGCTAAATCGGGGTAGGTACTGTCACGGTGCTCAAATTACAAGTGGGGAAGCAGAGGGGAAGCTGAGTGACCTGAAAAAAAGCTGAGCCTGTGCCCCTAGCCTCTGCACCGCGCCCCCAGCCCGTAGCCGGGCCCCTGACCCCCTCCTCTCCAGCTGCAGGCTTCTAGGCCTGCTCTCCACACCTGCACCCAGTGCTAACAACCACCCCTTTCTGCAAACGCCCCCCTTTGCCTGGTATGCAGCCCTGAAGCCAAGCCAGGGATTGCCAGCCTCATGCTGATGCCCATACCGAGCCCAGAGCCTGCACGTAGCTGGGGCCGCCCTAGCCAGACCCCAAGCCCCAGCCACAGGCCACACCTGGGAGAGCCTCCCCGTGCCAGCATGGGGCGGCAGTTCGCTGCTCTGTGCCAGGCCTGAGAGGCTAGGGGTGCAGACTCTGGCTCCAGCCAGCCTAGGTTCCCCCCCACCCATTCACTCACTCTGACCTCAGCAAGTTGCTTAGCCTTGAATGTGTTACAGTGTTCTCATCTGTAAAATGGGACCAATACCGGTATAAATGCCCTAGGGTTGAGGGCGGGGATTAAATGACTTAATTCCTGTAAAGCACTCAGACCGGTACTTGGCACGTCGTAAGCACTCTTAAAAGTTAGCTGTTTCTTTTATTTAAAATGTTTTGTTATCACCCTTCTGTGCAGACAGCTAAGCGAGGACTTCTTGGCTGGGAAAGCGGAGGCTCCAGAGGCTTCCAGCCCCATCCTGCCTCATGGGTGCCTCATGGCCCACACTCGAGCTGCCGAGGGCTTGGGGGAAGTGATGGGACCAGAGTAAGGCAACACGTGCTGTTTCCAGGAGCTATTTTCTGTTCATCATTTACTTTTTTTAAAAAGAGATTTTATTTATTTGAGAGATGAGAGAGAGAGAGCAGGAGGAGGGGCAGAGGGGGAGGGAGAGGGCTCAGCAGGCTCCGTGCTGAGCACAGAGCCAAGTGCGGGGCTCAGTCTCCGGACCCTGAGATCATGACCTGAGTCACCATCAAGAGTCAGCCGCTTACCCGACTGAGCCACCCAGGCGCCCCATTCATCATCTACTTTTAAGCTACTGTTTGTGGGGCGCTTATCCTAAGCCAGGCTGAGCCTTTACTCTCCTGACCTAGTTCGTCCTCATTCAACCCTGGGATGTGGGGCCCAGAGACGCAAGAGTCTTACCTGAGGTCACACAGCCAGGACACAGAGAGGCAGGATTTGAATTCAGGCAAGTCCGTGTTAGCCCAGCGCCTGAGTGGGGAGCACCTGCCCTTTGCTTTCTGATGTGCCCCGCGTGAGAGAGGCGCTGAGTGCGTGGCCGTTGCTTAAAAAAAGCAACCCTCTGAAATAACTCCTGTGGTTGGTATCTGGTCGGGGCTTTGCCGCCACCGCTGGTGACGCTGGTGTACGGAACAGGGGAAGTTAATATCTACACCGGTCTCTCCAGCCCCCAGGGCTCCCGGGGTCCACCCCATGCCCTGGCGCTGGAGCCTCTCCTCTGGCCCCCCCGGGCCCGCCTGTCCCAGCCTTGTCCTCCAGCCAACCCACTGGCCTTCTGGCCTCACCGAGGGAGTCTCAGTGCACTGGGCCTCAGGGCTTATGAGGGCAGAAATTGGGGACCGAGGTCTTTCTTCTGCAAGGTCAGACAGCTCTTTGCTCTGGGAGAAGCCTCCAGCTCTCAAGGGTCTGGGCAGAGACCCCCTGCCACTGCCCAGTACCCAGGGCCTCTGACCCTGACCCCCTCCCACTCCCCCAGCACTGTCTCACCTTGGCCCCTGCAGAGCCAGTGAGTGACCTGACATGGGCACTAGGGGAGACCAAGGGAAGAGCAGATGGGGCCTTGCCCTCTGGGAGCTCACTGTCTGAGGAGAGAGACACAATCTTGCCCGAGTAGTCTACTGGGGGAGGCAGGACAGGGACGTGGACACATGCACAGAAAAACAGCCTGAGGAGGTCAGCAGTGGTCAGTGGTTTGAGCACAAGCTTTGGAATTTCAGACTAGTTTAGGTTTGAACCCCATCTCTGCCACTTATTAGCTGGTGACCTTGGAGGAGTGGTTTGATGTCTCTGAGCCTCAGTTTACCCATCTGTAAAATGGGCATAATGAGACCTACTTTGCAGGGTTTTAGTGAGGGTTAAACGAGAGATAATGGATGAAAAGGCCTAGGACAGTGCCTGGCACGTAGTAGGTATTCAGTATATAGTAGCAGCAGATCATTGCAGGCCAGACTTTGCTCATTCACACTGCTGGTAGCCTAGTACAGCTGAGGCCAATCCGGGCAGGCTGCCTGGAGGAGGTGAGGCGAAAGCAGGATGGGCTCGAGGATAGCTCATCACAGAGACGGAGCCACGGGATGGTGGAGGACATAGAAAGGAGCTGAGGTGTGTGGAAGGTCCTGGAGAAGGGCCCATTGTCTCCCTCTAACCTTGACTGGGGATAGAAACGGGCCCCCTGGTACTGCATCAACTCACTGATGAAGTTACCGCTGTGGCCCTGGTGGCCTATAAACAAATGTCCCGGGGACCCGGAGGGTACTTGAGGCTGGGCCTCTGCCCAGCTCAGAGGGACAGCCTGCTGTCATGGCAGTGACTCACCGGGCAGAGAGGCCAAGGGCTCACTCTTGGTGGCCTCCTTCTGCAGAGCCCCCAGGGTGAGCTCTAGCCCCAGGGGCGGGACCAGAGGTCAGCAGGGGTGACCAGGATCTGATCTGTCCCCGAGGTCTAGAAGGAGGAGCGGGTCTGGGGGTGGAGAGGGTCGGAGCAGCTGCGGTTTAGAGTGCCTGCTGTGGCAAGTGCTTCCTCCCGGGCAGCCCTTCCCATCTCCCGGGTGACAGCGCAGGGGCCACAGCGCGTGCCGGGGTCCTGGGTGGCAGTGAAAAGCCGGGATTAGACCCGGGGCAGGGGCTGCAGAGGGAGCACTGGGCCCGCTGTGTTCTCCCCGGAGGCAGGGCCGGGGCCTGGAGCTTGGTGGGCGGGCGGCAGCACACACCAGGGGAGCGGCTGGCTGGCTGGAGGAGGCGGCCACAGGGTTCCTGAGAAGCTTCGAGGGGAGGCCTGCGGCTGTCCAGGGAGGGGCAGGGCGAGGGGTTTGGGCCCAGGCTGCTGCTCTGTTACTCTGTGCCTTCAAGAGGGAGTG